AAATCACTGTGCAGGCAAATAATCCTCTTTTCCTTGTCTTCTATTTGTTCAAAATAAAGAGAATATTTCTATCGCAGAAATGTAAGGCTCTGCCATCTTCCTTTCTGCTTGTTCTTGCATTCTTTCATTGCATGCAAGTTTAAGCGTGACTACATTATTTTAATTTAGCAAATTTTAAAAGTGAATTAACTAAAGTAAAAAGTAACTTAAATATTATTACATCATTTTTTAAAACCGAATGCGTTACATTATTCGTTACTTAGAAAAGCAATGTTTCCATGTAGTGGAACTCATTTTAATTATTGAGTCACACTTTTGACATCCAGTATAACTCATTCAATGAGATTGCATAATTTGAAGTGCAATTTGGTTTTAGTTTCCGCTCAAGACATAAATGCTGTTTTTTGTTTGCTTTGTTTCTTTGATGCGCTGCATTGCTGCCCTGTTCATCAAACCACAGAACTCAGGAAATACACCAATGAGATCTGGCCTCAGAGTCTTTTAAACTTAACTGTTTCTGTCTGTGTTAAAAAAAAACACTACTAAGATTTCAGCTCGGCGCTTAACATGCGAGAGCACATCATTTACAACCTCACAGATTTTAGGATGCATTCTTGTAAATAATTTTGGTTCAGTTGAAAAAAGTACAATTTCGAAATATTTATGCACACTTGATGGGAAGTCACATTTAACATTGATAATTAAATAAGCTTAGTGTTAAAATTTAAAGTAATACACCTTAGAATTGATTTAGCCAAAAACCACATTGTTTCTCATACCTTATAACAAAATTTATATATTATGGGTTGAAGATTTTCTTTTTTTAAATGTACTAAAATACTTATTTTTAACTTGATATGTAAATAAATAATTTTGTAACTTTTTTCCAGCAGGAACCTTAGTAAATATGTATAATCTTATCAAATTAAAACATATTAAAACATTCGTTTATCTATTACACTGTAAAACCCGACAGTCAACTTTAATCAAATGACATGAGTGTAGTTAACTCAAATTTGATTGAAAGTTAATTCTACTCATTTGAAAAGAGTTTTGAACTCAGCGTTGAATAATGAGTTAATTAAATACCTCATTACTTCAACTTAAATGGGGTAAGTTTACACTACTCATACAGATTCATTTATTTTATTCAAATGATTTGTAGCAATCGGTTTCCTCAAACGGTTTAAGTTGCCTTAACTTACTGGGTTTTACTGTGCTCAAATTGCTTCGTTTACTCAAATGGATTAAGTTCACAGTACTCATTAGGATTAGTTTTTGAACTTAAATGGGTTTAAATGGTTTGAGTTAGCTTAAATTATTCGAATTTACAGTGTATAAGCATAATATTCATAATATCATCCCATGGTAGTTAATTTCTTGCTTTATCTACATAAATAACAATGGAAATCTACATTTTTATTTCTTACAGATTGTTTTAATGTTAACTACTGTACATAAAGGGACAGCAGGGACCCAAGTAAATGTTTTGAATTTTATCAAATTAAAAAAAAAATTTTAAACATTGACATGCATTACATAAAAATAGTCTTTCAATAAATTTTATTAATGGAATATGTAAAAACCTAATTCAAAAAACTAATTTAAATCATAAGAACTGCAAGAGAATCTTAATAAAAAGAAAACTAATAATATTATTAGCAAAATGACTATATGAAATATTTAATTGGACGTGAATTACACTGAAAATAAAACTGGTGTATTTACTGTAAAACAATTTTCACTCAGAAATTTGCAGTAATATTTAAATTTAAGTAATAATTGCAAATATCTCTTTAAACTTAAAAATTCCTTTGAGTTGTAGCTTTCAATGAAATATTTATCTTTTTTTTTGTTTAAAATTATTTACTAAGCAAACTACCATATAAAAAACATATAAATGTTAATTTAAATCATTTTAAATAATAGTTTTCCCCTGTTTGTGGCCTGCAGTAAATACAAGAGAAATCGGTTCATACCCCGTTGACTTTCTGGAACAGGTAGAGGAAGCCTCCGAAGGTCAGTGTCATTAACAGCAGTAGCATCACTGACAAAAACTTGACTAAAGGTGTGTTTCCCGATGGCTGGGCTTTCTTGTATCCTGCGCGTGGAGGCACCGGTGGGGGGTTGTAGCTACTGTGAAAGGTGTTTATCATGGTGAAAAGAGGTCGAGGAGTTGACAAGAGAAGAGACGTTTACTCCAGTGGCACCCATGCAGTTCTGAAGTGCTGCTCTCAACGCAACCAAGCTCATTTGACTGCCACTTCCTGAGAGATGTCACTTTTTCAGATGGGCTGAGACTAGCAGCATGTCTTTCTACGTAATTTGGTGTAAATCAACTTTGGAAGATATTTCTGAGGCTTTATTCTTTAAGGCCACACTTCTTTTTTGTTTGTTGTTCGTTAGTTTTTTGCTTAAAGGTCATTGTGTTTGCAGTATTTTTATTTTTTTTCCGAGCCAAGTAGTTTCTCTTCAAGTTCAAAAAAAAAAAAAAAACCATCAAGCTGATTTTGAACATCAAAATTAGACAACCAGCACCAACTTTTTATGTCAAGTATGTACAAACCCATTTGTTGGGTTACAATTTTTAACACAACAATTGGGTTTGAACATATTTGATATAAATTTGGATTAAAGGGCTCCTATGATGAAAATCATCTTTTGAAGGCTGTTTGGACAGAACTGTGTGTAGGTATAGTGTGTCCACAGTCATATTGGGGTGATATAAAGACAATAAGTCTCTTTGTTTTAATTTCCTGATGTTAAAATAGGATCCAAATTCCTCCCATTTTTAGGCCCACCGCAATGTAATGCAGGAGTGCAGTTTCCCTGCCCACTGAATTAATTGACAAATGCGTATTAACATGTCTCCATATTAAAGCATATAATCATATTCACAAGACAGGACATGCTCAAAGCAAACTGGATTAAACAATTTAAAGGAGAAAGGAGTAAAGGAGATCTGGTCCATTCTTGTCTGTCACTGTGCTGTGTATACATGAGATGCAGCAGGAGAAGCTACACCCATCATAGCAATAGTGAACGACCTCTTTGGCTCTGACATGCACATGGGAACGGTGGGCGGAGAGAATCAGCTCATTTCCATTAAAGGCACAGGCAATAAAAACTGCTACAAAGTCAAAACTACTCAAATTTCCAATTTACACAAAGTTATAATAAATAATCTGTAAAAATGTTTGAAAAGAATAATTGTAAAGAAAACAAATCGTGTTCGGGTGCTTTCTGGTTTTCTTGGGTTCTAGAATTAGCAGAATTAGCTTGCCAGTTTAGTTTTCACCAATCTTGTGTTTTATGTAACATGAAGGAATCGTCACTTGAATCACTCTTTGCTTCCATGCAAATTATTATGTATTAAGTATTATGGAGCAACTGAGCTTTATGGTACCTATAATGCAGAACTGGTGAAAGCTAAACTGCCTAGCCAGCCAATCTGGCTCCATGATTCAGACCCCTGATTTTTATAATCTATGTGATGGTTTTCTGAGTGGATTTGAGAAATGACTTCTTACAAAATATTCAGTTTGTTTACTTTTGACCCAAAATTGAGTTGAGAGTAGAATTACTAGAATACTACAGAATTACTAACCCCCCTTTGAAATTTTCTTTCTTTTTTAAATATTTGCCAAAGGATGTTTAACAGAGCAAGAAAATTTTCACAGTATGTCTGATCATATTTTTTCTTCTGAAGAAAGTCTTATTTGTTTTATTTCGACTAAAATAAAAGCAGCTTTTAATAATAATAATAAAAAAAACATTTTAAGTTCAAAACTGTTACCCCCTTTAAGCTATATATTTTTTTCGATAGTCTACAGAACAAACCATCGTTATACAATACATGCCTAACTACCGTTATACAATAACCTGCGTAGTTAACGTAATTAACCTAGTTAAGCCTTTAAATGTTGTTTTAGACTGTATAGAAGTGTCTTGAAAAATATCTAGTCAAATATTATTTACTGTCATCATGGCAAAGATAAAATAAATCAGTGATTAGAAAGGAGTTATTAACACTGTTACGTTTAGAAATCTGTTAAAAAAAAATCTTCTCTACGTTAAACAGAAATTGGGGAAAAAAAAAATTGGGCTAATAATTCAGGGGGGCTAATAATTCTGACTACAACTGTACATTAGGGCTGCACAATATATCGCTTCAGCACCGATATCGCAATGTGGGCATCCATGTTAAGTTGGCATTATAGTTAAATAAGTTATTGTTCATTAGACATGGTTTGTTGAGTCATTTTAAATTTCAAACATTATCTATTAATGTAATTTTTTTTTACTCAGATGTATTTTTTAAGGCCGATGGCTGTAAGATTTAAAGCAAACTTAAACAATAAATTATAAAGTTTGCCACTTTACCAAGGAATAATTGAGCTTAATTTTTTATCAAATGAAGATTATACAGACAACACAGTGTAATATTAGATTTAATAATTGACTTTCTTTACCTAATATTCCTCCAAAATCCATAAAGCACTGTTTATTTTGTTTTTATCTATGCTAGACTTTTTAAAATGACATTTTATATATTTTTTTGTATATTTTATGCAGATGCACTCGGCTACAAAATCATTCGAATCAATGTAAAATTGTGAATTCTTCCCAAACAGTTACTTAAGTAACATTGTGAAATTATCATCATATCGCAATATATGTTGCAGAGATACAAAATAATATAGTGTCAGTTTTTTCCAATATCATGCAGCACTAATATACATGCACATTAATATGTGAATACTTGCAGAATAAGTGGTTGTTGTAGAGGACTATAAAAACAGACTTTCTGTTTGTCACCAAAGCACAGGAAACAAGGTCACATGTTCACACGTTTAAAATAAACACAACACCTCCATTAAAAAATCTGACCACAGTGCTGATTAGATGCAAGTTGGTGCAGTTAAGAATGCATACAGACGAAGAAATGCATATGAAACCTGTTACTTGTCTACCCCAACCCTTTGGTTCATTGATAATTGAGGTAGGTAAGATGCTACTTCACCACATCTAAAACAAATATCCCCGAAAATGCATGATAGACAGGCTTTTCATTTGCAATTTGGCCTTTATGCAGCCACCGACTTCTGACCTCAATTTAACCACCGACTGGTGGTCTGTGCTACATATTCTCACAAGTGCGTGTAATCTTCCCTAGTACAGTAGATGTTTCAAGCAGAAATGAGCATCTTAGAACTTTAATTCAGCATTTCATTTACCTTTACTTATAAAGATGTTGATGGGGCATGTATACAACAGAAACTGCTGATTATCTAGTATCTGCAAAGGAAAAAAAACACATCAGTTTTTACATGAACTCCAGCATCTAACCTCAATTCCACCCCCACTGACTTCTCTAGAGTCCCTCTGCCAGCATTCACATTTTCCATAGTCATCAGTATCGCTTCAGATGTGTGCTAAATACAATAGGAAATGAGCTTCACCCACAAGAGCCATGAAAGGACCTAAATGGGAGCGGTGATCAAACCTTTGACCTTTATTTACACAGAAGCATCAGAATTAATATGCAGTGTAGTTTCAGTGAATGGATGTGGGAGGAGGAGGTGCATCTATGTGATAATTTCCACATTTTGATACTTTAATACAGTTCTCATGAGTAATATGAAGTTATGAAGAATGATAATGGCACATCACATCACAAACAAAAGCTACACTTTGAGAAAAGAAGGTTTTTGCATCTTTCAGTCAACAGTTTCTAAATAATATTAATAAAAATAATAAAGCATATATTTCATTAGGTGGAATATGTTTTGATTATCTAATGAACCTTAGTTTTTGTAATGAAAATGTTACATTAATGTTAAAAGGTTTTTTATGGCAGTGTTTCCCAAAGTGGGGGTCGCAGGACACTGACAGGGAGGTTGCTTGGTGATTTCCAAAATCCAAATAAATGTTATTAAACTATTACAATAACCATATTTCATCAATAATCCACAGAAGATGCAAATGGTAATTAATAGTTACATGAAAAAACAACATCATGCAAAAGAAAGGCCATCAGCCTTTCAGTTTATTTTCATAGGATTATGTATTTATGTTAGATTAAGAACACAGCAATAGAGTCAGCTGCAGCAGATTGCTATTATAGCACCAGGTTAAACATGCTAACACCTTTATTGCAATTAAATACATTCAAAATGAATATAGGCCACAACTGAACATTGAGAATGATCTCAGAGTGGAGGTCTCCAAAATTAAGCCAAGAATAGACTTGTGCTGAAAACATCATACCCACCAGTCTCTCCTCAGATGAAGTTAATATTAAATTAAACAAATTAATGAATGACAATATAAAGTATATGGTTGTTAGACTGTTGCACTGTGTTGTGTTGTCAATATACTCATGTTTAGGCCTATTGTTGTGTGCCATGTTTGTATATTTATAACCACCTCTGAGAAATTTGGGTGTCTCGAGTCACTGGCATTGATATTTTGAGGATCGCGGGCTGAAAACTTTGTGAACCCCTGCTTTATGGAACCACTGACCTGATTTAACATGCAGGGCATATTTTTCCCCACTGCAAGCTCTAAAAGGCTTCATGAAGCTCTCTAACATTTAACCTTTGCATTTCACAAACGATTATTTAGATCATAACAATATTCTTCTTACTAAGAAATAAATGTTTATCTGCAGAAATGTTGACTAAAAATATTCATAAAATGCAAAATCTACGTTTGAAACCTTTAATTTTAAGAGTTTACTTTTAAAACATCTTTTAAAAATCAAAAATGTGTGTAAGGAATCAAGATCCGGTTGCTTTATGCAATCTCCACTATACAGGGCGATATTCAGCACCATCACACTAAAAATCCTGGCTGGGTGTCGACCGTTCATATAAGCGGATGCTGCACTTTGTAAAGTCCTGAACAGTTAGCATGCTTATTTGCATATTCGCATTTGTCTTAAGCTGAGTTGGTCATATAATAAATGCCATAATTAAGAGACTTCAGCTGGTAAAAAGCATTCTCGTGGCAACATGTAATTACGATATGTTAAGAATTAGTTTTGTTTACGCCATCTCGTAATCATTGATAATAATTTTGAGATGACGAGTGACATTTTACTCAAAACTGTACATGTGTTCGCTCTTCGCATCTCATGAGCTGTAGGCCTATGTGCAAATGCTTTCAAGCAGGGGCGGATTTAGAAATGTTGAGGCCCTAAAGCAATTCCGGCCATGGGGCCCAGCAGTCCTATTATGCAACCTTTTTTTTTTGTTTATTTATTTTGCTGTTTTTTTTATATTATATAATCCAGTTTTTTACCTCTGCATCTAAATGCAATCTCTATATTTTAAATGGTTAATTTTCTTAAAATGAGTTCACAAAAACAAAAAAATGAAATATAACTATTTCCTTTTTTAAGACCACATCTTCATCTGATTTGACTGCTCCATGATTGGGGTGGGGGACACATTTGCATGAAAAAAAAATGTTAAACCCTCACAATATAATATATAATAGAAAACTATGTAATGTATTATTTATTCTTAAAGGTATTTATTCGGGTCCCGCAGATTTTCTGGAGCCCTAAGCCCTATGCTTACCTTGCTTATTGGTTAAATCTGCGTCTGCTTTCAAGTTCTGAAAATCATATTTTATATTTTAAACTAGATACATTTTAAGCTATTAACTTTTTGTAAACCTGAATGGACTTTTAGACTAAGGTTACGTACGTAAAACTAATGAACTCTCGAGGTAATTAGCTTAGCCAGCCATTTTTTTTCATGTTGCTGTTTAATTCGAATATTTAAATAGTGAGAAGAAAAATATGAAAAATACTATAGTAATTTATAGTAAATAGTCTACTGTTGTTTTTTTTTAACCATGCTGGTCTACTCGAATGACTCTCTTGTGGGAACTCTTTAGTTGCTATGGTAATACAGTGTTGGTGCAGTGGGTAGCACAATCGGCTCACAGCAATAAGGTCGCTGGTTTGAGTCCCGGCTGGGCATTTCTTTGTGGCGTTTGCATGTTCTCTCCATGTTGGCGTAGGTTTCCTCCGGGTGTTCTGGTTTCCACCACAAGTCCAAAAACATGTGCTATAGGTGAATTGAATAAACTAAACTTAGTGTGTATGTGTGTGAATGCAAGAGTTTATGAGTGTTTCCCAGTGTTGGGTTGTGACTGGAAGGGCATCCGCTGTGTAAAACATATGCTGGATAAGTTGGTGGTTAATTCCGCTGTGGTGACCATTGATTAATAAAGGGACTAAGCCGAAAAGAAAACGAATGAATGAATATATACAGTTGAAACCAAAAGTTTACATACATGTACATTCTAAAAAAGGCACATAACCATTTTTTTAATGTCTGATGTAAAATCATATTAAACATTTTCTCTTTTAGGTCAGTTAGGATTGCCAAAATGATTTACATTGCTAAATGCCAGAATAATGAGAGAATATCTTTAGTGAGAATTTTTTTATTGCTGTTACATACATGTCCTTAGTTTTTTGTAGCATTGCCTTTAAATTGTATACCTTGGGTCGAACATTTTGGTATCCTTCCACAAGCTTCTCACAATAGTTTGAAGGAATTTTGGCCCATTCCTCCTGACAGAATTGGTGTAACTGAGTCAAATTTGTAGGCTGCCTTGTTCGCACAAGTTTTTTCAGCTCTGACCACAAATTTTCTATAGGATTGAGACCAGGGCTTTGTGATGGCCACTCTAAAACACTGACTTTGTTGTCCTTAAGCCACATTTTAACTACTTTGTGTATGTGTATGGTCATGGTCCGATTGGAAGACGCATTTGCGGTAAAGCTTTAATTTTCTGGCTGATGTCTTGAGATGTTGCTTCAATATTTTTACACAATGTTCTTTCTTCATGATGTCATCTATTCTATGAAGTGCTCCATTCACTCATGCAGCAAAACAGCCCCACAACATACTTCACAGTTGGCATGGTGTTCCCAGGCTTGAAAGCTTCCCCCTTTTTCCTCCAAATGTAATGCTGGTCATTATGGCCAAATAGTTCAATTTTCGTTTCATCAGACAACAGGACATGTCTCCAAAAGTCAAAGTCTTTTTCTATGTGTGATTTTGCAAATTGTAATCTGGCTTTTTATGGTGCTTTTGGAGTAATAGCTTCTTCCTTGCTGAGTGGCCTTTCAGCCCATGTTTGTACTGGACTCGTTTCACTGTGGATAAGGAAACTCTCTTACCAGCTTCAGCCAGCATCTTCATAAGGTCTTTTGGTTTTAGCACGTTCATCTCTGGGAGACGGGAATTCTTCTCCTTCCTGAGTGGTATGATGGCTGGACATCCCCATGTTGTTTATAATTGTGTATTATTGTTTGAACTGATGAATGTGGCACCTTCAGGCATCTGGAAATTGTACCCAAAGAAGAACCAGATTTGTGGAGGTCCACAATTCTCTTCCTGATGTCTTGGCTGAATTCTTTAGATTTTCCCATGTTGCCTTAAATACCATTCTACAGTTGTGCCTCAAATTAACTTAAAAGTTGTCAGAAACTTCAAAGTACTTGACACTATCATCTGTGACTTTTCAGAGGCACAGTAATCTTAATGTATGTAAACTTTATGTATGTAAAAAAATACTTTCAAGTAAGTAATAAAACATCTAAATAAATCTCTCTTCCTTTACTCTGGTATTAGGCAAATAGAAAAGAGAAAAAGTTTAGTCACATTTAACATCTGACATTTAAAAAAATGTGCCTTTAGATACTGTGTATGTAAATTTCTGTTTTCAACTGTATATAATATTTTCTACAACTATAAGTTTTATTATACTAAAATACACCAGTCTACTGTTATAAATACTCAATTATACTATAGTAGTTATTAGTTTATCACTTTACAATAGTTAACACTACAATAAGCTCTATAGCCTTCAATAACAATGTGTTGATATACATAAATGTGTTAATATATGTAAAGAGTGTACAGTATAATAAACTTAACTTTAGTGTGGTTCAAAAACACAGTTCCTTATTTTATTATTGTGTGATTGACACTAGTTATACTCAACTTTAATAGCTCCTTTAAAGGCATCTTGTGTAAAACAGTGCCATAAATATAGGTATAAGACTAAAATTTGACTAATAAAACAAGATACAAAAAATGTCTCTTGCTTATAGAGCAGTTTGTTGTGCATATCCTCTTTATGGACTAACAGTGTAAAAATAATAATAACTCTCCACAGGGTTTTATAAACCCAGATTAAAAAATGTGTTAACCCTGCTTCTAAATAATAATAAGTGAATTTTTATTATTATATGTTATATAAAGTTCCTTCATGCTGTGTTAAAAGCAATACTTAGAATAACTTTCAGTTTACCAGAGTGTGAAAAAAAAATTATATTTAGTTCAATACATCGAAAAGGAGTTGAATTGTCATTATAATATTCATGGTACAGTGAACATGGCTGTAATATGCGAAGACAGGTTGAAATAATTCCAGGGAGAAACAATTCAGCAAAAATACACTGCAGACGTCATGTTCATTTCTGTTTCCAGGGATGGGAAGAAATACTTTGTCATGTATGTATGACTCACTGCGTGTTCTATGTGTGCTTGTGTGTTGCTGAAAAGGAGTCAGACTGTGGGCCCGTGAAACTGACTATGAAAATGCCACATATTCAGATTTTCACACTTTCTGGAAATTATGCTGGAATTATTCAAGAACCAAAATACGTCTGGAATAATGACGTAAGATGTCATTTCAAATTATATGCTAATAAGACCAATATTATTTATGTGTGTGTTTGTGTGTGTGTTAAGCATAAAGCTTATAAATATTGCATGATTTTTGATTAAACCTTCCCTAGTTGAGTTGAACGTGCATAATCATGAGTGTGTCTGACTGTCGTTTGACATGGGCAGTAGCTCCAACTGTTGGCAACAAATGTCACTACACTTAGTCTAGCACAGACAATTAAACTAGCTAGTGAACTGCACTGTTAACAACGTGTTTCTTCAGTCAAGTATTCTATATATTATCAGTGCACTGAGAGTAATATGTATTTACATATTCTTAAAAATACATTATTAGTGTTCATTAAACATTGCACATACATTTTCAGCCATTAAGCATCTTAAATGCACTGAAATCCAAAAGAAAAGAAAAAAAAAGAAAAAAAGGCAGCTGCTCAGCAATTATAATATACAGTATTTGTTCTATGAGACTTTACATTGCGTTTTAAAGTACGACAATCACCATGCTGTCAATTCTGCAGATTCTAAAAGCTGGTCTGTAAGATCATGGAGAGTGTCAGGGTGTGTAGTGAACCACCAAGGACAGAGAGTGCTGCTCTTTTTTCTGAGGGCCCTCTGCGCTGCGATGAATTGAGGCCCCGTCACAGGGCCTGAACACGTGTGGATCTTCTTTGCTGCTATGCTGTGGATTCTGTCCATGGACAGATGGTTCGCCTTGACATTTCAGAAATGCTACGAAACACCTGTAGAACTGAAACAGATGAAGAGAGAATGAAGTGGTGCTTTTTAGGGGTACATCACCACGATCTTATGTAATCAACCACAAGTCTGCACGATTGGAAAATTTACTTGGTGTGGCATTTGAGGTAGGGCTTTGTTTCAGTGGAAAACAGTTCATGTATGAGTGATTGTAGTGCAAAATGAAAGTATATGTGCTTGTGGTTTGTGAAGTATACAAAAGGTACAAAGTTTGCACATTTTAGTATAGTATACAATACTGTTTAAACGTTTTTTTGGGGTCTGTACGATTGAGAAATCTTTCAGAGCGTAATCTAACATGCTGATTTGCCGCTTAAGAAACATTTCTGGTTATTATCAAGGCTGAAAACAGTTATTATGCTTGATATTTTTGTGGAAACTGCAGCACATGATGACAGTAATTTTCTTTTTGTCAAAGAATCCTGAAAAGAAATACCACCATTTGCAAAAATATTTTTTTAACATAAAACATTCATTCATTCATTTTCTTTTCGGCTTCATCCCTTTATTAATCCGGGGTCGCCACAGCGGAATGAACCGCCAACTTATCCAGCAAGTTTTTACGCAGCGGATGCCCTTCCAGCCGCAACCCATCTCTGCGAAACATCCACACACACACTCAGAAACTATGGACAATTTAGCCTACCCAATTCACCTGTACCGCATGTCTTTGGACTGTGGGGGAAACCGGAGCACCCGGAGGAAACCTACGCGAAGGCAGGGAGAACATGCAAACTCCACACAGAAACGCCAACTGATCCAAGGTTCGAACCAGCGACCTTCTTGCTGTGAGGCAACAGCACTACCTACTGCGCCACTGCCTCGCCAACATAAAACATAATATAGTTTATACTATATAATAATAAAAATAAAAAACACTTTTAATGCTGCTCGGAAAGTGGCTGTAGTAGCTGATGGTGGCAGTAGCTTTGCAGTTAGCACATTCGTACATTTACATGTATTAATTTAGCAGACACTTTTATCCAGACCACATTAGTCAGGTTTAGTTTTTGTTTTTTTGCAGTACTATGGTGCATTTGGTAATATTACTAACTTGAAAGTCCTTTGTCAATTCAACTCTCTTTCTTTGTTCTGCTGTACTCTACAGTCCTATCAAATTAAAGGAGTAAAAACCGGTAAAACCTAACTTTAAATAAAACTGTATGCAAAGTAAGAAGATTTCTAGAATTTGTCTGGATAAAACTAAATTGTTTTTACAAAAAAGTAAATGGTAAAACAATTGTGTTTTAAATAATAAATTAATGTAGATGTTATTGTTTGAATTTGTATATTTAATTGTTGAATTATATAATCATAATCATATACACTACCGGTTAAAAGTGTGGGGTCAGTTTTTTTATTATTATAAATTTTTTATAATAATTTAAAGAAAATTATTCTGTTCATCAAGGCGGCATTTATTAAATGTAAAAAAAAAAGGTAAATTGTTAAATATTTCTTTATTAAATGTTAATTTATTACTTAATTTATGTCGTTTTAAATGAAATTATTACTCCAGTTGTTATTGCTTTTATTACTATTACTATTAATAATAATATTATTATTTATAATAATAACAATAATAATTATTAATGTTAGAGTCATTTGGTGACGTGGTGGCGCAGTAGATAGTGCTGTCGCCTCACAGCAAGATGGTCGCTGGTTCGAGCCCCCGCTGGGTCAGTTGGCATTTCTGTGTGGAGTTTGTATGTTCTCCCTGCGTTTGCGTGGGTTTCCTCCGTGTGCTCCGGTTTCCCCCAAATTCCAAAGACATGCGGCACAGGTGAATTGGGTAGGCTAAATTGTCCATAAAGTATGAGTGTGAATGAGTGTGTATGGATGTTTCCCAGAGATGGGTTGCAGCTGGAAGGGCATCCGCTGTGTAAAACATATGCTGGATAAATTGGTGGTTCATTCAGCTGTGGCGACCCCATATTAATAAATGGACCAAGCCAAATGAAAAACGAATGAATGAATTAGAGTAATTTTGAAGGATCATGTGACTCTTTAAAATCACTGGAATAAATTATTTAATTAAAAAATAAAATGCTTTAGAACAGTTATTTTATAGTGCAATAACATTTCAAAGTTTTATGATTTATACTGTATTTTTGATTAAACAAATGCAGGCTTGGTAAGCAGGAGAAGCTTATTTTAAAACATTAAAAATCCTACTGACCCCACACTTTTGACCGGTAGTGTACATAATCAAGTTCTGTCAAATGAATGCCCTCAGATTTTTTATCAGTTTGCTTAATAAAAAGCTTTTACATTCTCTTAAAGTGTACTGATTGAAAAAAAAAAACATAGATCATTTTTAATAATAAATAAATGTATTTGGTGTTATTCCAGATTTTATATTTAGTTATTCAATTATATATATTTGGTCAAATCAGTGCACTTTTATAAGATCTAAAAACATATTGGTGCACCAACTGATTTGCATTCCATCTGTGCACTCACCTGGTTGTTGAAAAGCACATAGATTACTGGGTTGACCACAGTGCTGCTCTTGGCCAGGACTGATGGCACTATGCTGGTTACAGGAGTGATTAGTCCCGTTCTGCCAAAGGTGGCCAGCAGGGCCACCACCCCGTAAGGCATCCAGCACAGCAGATAGCAGGATACCATAGTGACAACCATCAGAAGAATGTGGTTCTCTCTCCTCTGCGCAGTCAGCAGGTTGATTTTTGTTACCTGAGCCAAAATGGAAATGCTTAATGATGCATTAAGCAAAGTGTATAACAATTTCACCTACGTCCGATGACAACACCACAACTCCTCTCTTTAAATGATTACTACTCTAAGTACTGATGAGTACTAAATTAATTGAATCAACACAAGCTCATTGTGGATACATACCCCTGTCTACATTTCTGGAGAGCACAAATTATGTAGCCAGAAGTACATATGGCCACATTTCATCTTTAAAATGAACGCTACGGAGCAGTATGATGCCACCAACGGCTAATGTTTCTTTTTTGCCCCACCATCTGACTTATTGCCTCCCTATGGATGACTTTTCTGGTGTTACCAGTTTGTCCAGTAGCTCGCTGCATATGCAGATGGATTGTGGATGCAGAGCTGAAATAACCACAACGACAAGGTCTGAGTCTGTTAAAGAACTGTTTCAGAAACCATGTAAAGCAAAAAAGAAAAAGAAAAACAACATGCTGAAACAGGGCACGCGACACCTTTACTTTTTCTAGATTGCTTTTGAAAGCACTATTGGTTGGGTTTAGGGACGGGGCTGGGTAGGTCAGTCAGTCACTCGACTGTCAATGTAATGATGAGTGTTTCCCAAAACCATAATTTTTCTGTCGCAGATCCATCATTTGAACCAACTTATTCATTCATTCATTTTCTTTTCGGCTTCATCCCTTTATTAATCTGGGGTCACCACAGTGGATTGAACCGCCAACATATCCAGCAAGTTTTTATGCAGCGGATGCTTTTCTAGCTGCAACCCATCCCTGGGAAACATCAACACAATCATACTCATCCACACTCATACACTACGGACAATTTAGCCTACCCAATTCACCTGTACCGCATGTCTTTGGACTGTTGGGGAAACCAGAGCACCCAGAGGAAACCCATGCGAACACAGGGAGAACATGCTAACTCCACACAGAAATGCCAACTGACCCAGCCGAGGCTCGAGCCAGCAACCTTCTTGCTGTGAGGCGACAGCACTACCTACTGCTCCACAGCGTCGCCAAAAAAGTTTAATTTTAAATATAATTTTTATTTTTGTTAATATTAAGTTGGATATAGTTTTTTTCTTATTTTTAATCAACTTATATTTCTTAATCTACAATACAATTTGACACATTCAAACCACTGCAGAAATGTTTTAAACAACAGACCAATGTCATATAAGTACAGATCCATTAATAAATAACGTAATATAAATTAAAAGCATTCACGTAAGCTATATATTTTGTTTTTACAAGCTTTGGAGACGTAACGTAAATTCCTCTTTTAAGTAATAGATCACCTGTAGCTTTCGTCAAGAGCTATGGCTGTGTTCAAATGGACATAAATGTTTTCAAAGTGCACTATGAAGGAAGGGCAATTGTCAATATGAAGATTGCTGAAACTGAACTGTAAAAATTACTTTGAAAGCGAATTACACCTAGGAGAGATGACTGAGAGATTAATGTTTTTTTTTTTTTTTTTTAAATCAAATGTTGGAAGGTTTGAAAGGAATAGGGGGATAACTAGGAATAGAACACAAGCTGCAACTATGCTTATAACTACAGCTCTAGAGGTGTAATTGCAAGAGTACAAGTTTGCAATGCAGTTTGCGAATGTTCGTTGGAACGATGGATTTGGGAAACGCCAGATCAGCAAACTATGCTTGTACAACAGAACTTGCGACCTTAGTTGGTTAATGATGGTTTTCAGAAACGCACCCCTGGTCTGCTGAATGTATATAGCATTATCTGGTGGATTTATGCAAGAAGAGGAGGAGAAAGAGAAATATGAGATACGAGATCATCGCTTTTTTTCTCTGAGGCGTTTGCATTCATCCACCAGCTCTGCACACTGCTTTTGTACTGCTGACAGGCGTACCTCGTAGTCAGTGCAAGTCTCTTCAATCGATGCAATTTTTTCTGTGTTAGTTGTCAGTGTCGTACGTAATTCTGCAATCGTTTGTTTAAAGGTGTCGAATTTTTGATTGACTGAGGCTTTTAAAGCTGTGTTATATATTATAATAGGAGAAGTTGTGCCACCTTTATTGACAACTTGCCTCACCTCCTCTGCGTTGCCGGCTTTGCCATGGACGTTGTCGATCTCTTCTTGTATTTTGTCTTCTTTCTTCGAGTTTTTTGGCATTGTCAAAGCTTAACGTGTTCTTGAATCTCTTGAAAACACTTTTTGACAAGTAATCATTAAATCTGAGGATCGATTGTATTAAATTATTAGGAGGATTGTTGGAGCCTAGACACGAGCAGCCTTCTCCATGCGCCCCGGAACCGGAAGTCGAGAAATATAAGATAATCAAAAAGTGTACACGGCAACCTCTGGTGGATTTGTAAAAACAAAAACTGAGCAGACATACCTCCAGTTAGGTATTTTTCTGTCCCCAGAAATGTAGGCCTGGGTACGTATCTGTAATGAGCCTGGGTTGACTTAAATTCTGGATTCAGCATGCCAAGGTTGCATACTCTTTGCTCTATTTGATTATTAGCAAGTTCAAAGTCTTGAAACGCGTGTGTATTTTGTCTAAGTCAATGGAAGCAACATCTAATCTTCAATATCTACTTTAAATGTTACATCTGAAATAAAAACAGGTCTTCTCAACCATCTAAGTCAAACTAAAAGCTTTCATCTATCTGTAGAGCACATGGTCTATCCTACAGCAAACAGCCCATGATGTGAACGTGCTTAGTATGAATTAGCTTGCCATGTGTGCAGGCTGTTTGCGAACCTAAGGAAGACTGGCAGATGGCTCCTTCATGCGTCAAATCTGAGCGTCGTGACTTCTATCCTCTGGAGTCTGTTAACCTTCCCTATCCCCTTCCCATCCTGAAGTAATCTCTCTGTATGAAGATCTCCTGCCGGTCGGGGACTGAATGTGAACTTCCATTCAGCAGCGGTGGCAAATGAGTGCTGATGAGAGAAGCGGTGCACCCTGCATCGGGCTCATGTCGTCATTTACACCTCTTACATGTTTCACTAGATGATTGTAATTGTATTGACAGCTCCAGCTCGCCAAAGTGTTTTCTATGTAATCCCATTGCCTCCGAAAGTGTCCTTTGGCAATTTGTAGAATCAGTATAACATTGTAAAAAAAATATGTATTACAAACAAATCCTTATCTAGCACATGTTTTACACAGCGGATACCCTTCCAGCTGCAACCCAGTACTGGGAAACACCCATACACACTCAATACTCACTCATATACTATGGTCAATTTAGCTTATTTAGTTCACCTGTACCGGATGTCTTTGGACTGTAGGAGGGAGCAACCAGAGAGAACCCACGTTAACACATGGAGAACATGCAAACTCCACACAGAAATGCCAAATGACCCAGCCAGGGCTTTCACTAGCAACCTTTCTTGCTGTGAGGCGACAGTGCTAACCACTGAGCCACTGTGCTGCTCTCATCTCCAATTCATTCCTTCATAAACACCCTCAAAAGCCCCTTTTAATTGTATCCGAATGCATTTTCTTTAGACAATCTATAGAATCGTATAATAGAAACCAATTTCATGCCACATGTCTGGAGTGACTATTTTAGGAATCCAATTACTTTCTCAGACATCAGTTTTACAGTGGTCTCTCTCTTTTTTCGTGATACCCCACTTTGAATCCCATCAGAATTCCATGTTTGTGTTTCTAAGAAAAGCTGCAGGGCTGTAGCGACTGGCCCACTCGAATGTGCTATGGAAGCAGCTCTCTCCATTTGTCTGACACACAATGCAACGTCTGCTACTGAACAGAGTGAATCCTGGAGGAAATAAGTTTGTTGCATAACCGCTCGTCACCAATAGTAACAGGCTCCTCATTCTAAAAATACCTCTGATGGTGATTCATTCATGGAATCGCTCCGGCGACTACAGGCTCGTTGCCTTACTACCTGCTGGAAACGCTCATTACATATTCTTTCACACAGTGATGTGTTTATGAAATCTGCCTCAGGCATGGATGAGTCACAAAACCTAAAGCCTGCATCTTCCTGAATACTGTCTAACCTTTTGCCCTAAAGTGCTTTGTTCTTATTCTCGAGCTGGACAAATCAATATCAAATGGATAAAAAAGAAGCCAAGAAAGCAGGATCTTTGATCTCCAAGTATTGTTATCTGTGAGTTTGCTGGGTTGAAATGTTAATTAGACTCTGCCTATGATACCTCATTGTGGATTTCTGGTACAACGGATTCATTTCCTCAGAAGGGAAATTAACACGGTGCAAGGAGACTATAGGGTGTATTAATTGTCAGCCACTGCTGTTTTACAACAGCGCTGGGATCTTTCACTATTACTCTGCTCATTCGCGTTTGCGCATTACAAACCACGATTTTACAGTAATTCTTTCTGCAGGTTACATGCCAGTGACAAATGACTCTTTATGAGTCATTGAATCATTCATTGAACCGTTTTCTTTTTAAACCACTTAAGAAATCAAGTGACTTGCTGATTTTGAAAGTACTTACCAACATAGCACCAGATTAACAAGCAGATAATATCTGGATTGCAAATCCTCTGTTATAATTTACTAAAGGCATGCAATAAAAAATCTTGTGATGAAGAGGTGTAGGGCTTACTGCATATGCAGTTATAAGAGTTTCCCTTTCCAAGGATTTGGAATCAGTTTACTAGTCCTGTCCCGAATCTATATTTTGTTGGACGATAAATTGCACCAAAATATTTTGCAATAAACTATATTATTGTCATTTTAAGACGATTTTATGCCACACATTATATACTCCAGAGTGACAATATAATATCATCACAATGCAAGTTTGCACTCTTCCAAAGAACACAGAATACTTTATTCTTAAAATATTTCATTTAATTATAGTCATTTTAACAATTTAATATTTAGGCATTGGAATCAGAAACATTTTATCCTAAACAAATAAATAATAATAAATGTTAACAAAAAATAGCAAGGTAAAAAGTAACAGAGGCTGTGATATCTGCTACCAGATCTGTTTTCAGTTAGACACCCACATGAAAATATACTATAGAAATGTATAATAAATACTATAGTGTTTTTTAACCATACTGACACCTCCAGTAGAGATAGAGATGTTGCACAATCAGCTAAAATGTTGCTAGAATTGGTTTTTATGCATCATCAATAATAACTGAGTCATTTTTATCTTTATTGATTATTTCGATAGGCCTACAGTTTACTTGCATTCGCGCCATTATTCATTGAGAGAAAGCTTCTCTTAACCTTTCAACCATAGAGAGGCACCAGCAACAATTTAGAGAAGGTGAAAAAAACAGATAATTTAAGAGCTTATACCTTAGAGAGTTGTGAATGTGTGATTTCGCTAGCCAATCTTTAGTCATCCACAATAGGTGCTAATTTGACTTATTTTAAAGTCATAAATGCAACCCAGGCACATTTTGGATACATATTCCTACATACATTTCTCTCGAAAGTGCCTTTCATGACTACTGTTCTCGCATAAATCCACTAGAGGCCGATGTCGACTGACTAATTGATGCCCCCACACACCTCTTTCCCTAAACCCAACCAATAGTGTTTTCTAAAGCACCAATTGACCCGCCCACTGCTTTCCCTAAATCATTCTCACCCTGTTTTTTACTTGTTTATTTTATTTTTGCCTTTTATTTTTGTTTTACCTGCTTTCTGGAACTGTTCTTCACCAGACTTGAACCTCATGGTTATTGTCAACCTCCTGTCTCAAGTGCGCCAACGTAAGCAGTGAGCCACTGGGCAAACTGGTAACAGCGGAACAGCCATCTACAGGGAGGTAAGAAGTCAGCTGGTTGCGTGAAAAGAAACAGAAGTCATCTGCGTTGTCATACCGCCCCGTATCGTTAATTTTAAAGAAGAAATGCAGCCATACGTACCTCTGGCTACAAAATTTACTCTCTCCAGAAATGTATACAGGGCTACATAATCACAATGAACCTGAGTAGCAAAAATGGCATATCAGGTGAACAGTTACTTACCTTAGTTGGATTTGTTACAGTAGAATAACACACAGCAGAATGACACACACACACTCAAACATTTAAAGGAGATACTGTCAAATTAAGTTTAGTATTAAATCCACTCTCACTCACCCCTTTGATGAGTAGCAGGATTTTGCCATAGCAGAAGATCATGAGCACGAGGGGCAGAAGCAGACAGAAGATGAACAAGCACATGACGTACGAGATGCTGCTGGTTGAGCGCAGGTGCCATTGCACTGAGCATGTAGTCCCGGGTCCTTCAGGACCATAGTTGCTCCATCCCAGAAATGGTGGAAGAGTCCATAGCAGTGAATATAGCCAGGAACCAGCCACACAGAGCCAGGCCCTGCGGAAGTCAGACACATCGGCCTTGGTGGCCCGCAGCAGGGCAGCATAACGCTCGTATGACAGTATAGAAAGAGACATCAGAGACACAATTCCTGTTTGGTGTAAAGAGGAAAAATTGTCACTCAGGACAAATTCATTTTTATTGTGATTTGTATGTTATGTCACAGAAATCCTCATCGGTCTGCATATCCTTTCTAGTGTGAATGCATTCAAATGCATTCGTATAGCCACAAAAGACCACCAGTATGTAGATGACTGAAAAAAGATTAGGTCTTTGCTTCTGAGTTTTCCTACACTACCCAAATAAACTGCAGTGCTGAAGTAGTTTATTAATGACTGCTATTATTTTACATCAAAATAGATGAAAACATTTTTTTTACATTAAATATTTAACTTTAAAACATTAATTTTAGTCATGAAAGTCATTTGCAACCTAGGGTCATTTTGATTATGTACCTGTCTACATGCAGATAAGCGGTCAGCTGGTTAACAAAAGAAGAAACGGCGTCATACCGCCCGTAGCGTTCATTTTACAGATGAAATCCTGCCATACGTAGCTCTGGCTACATAATTCGTGATCTCCAGAAATTTATATTGGGCTATGTTTTCAGAATGAGCTGATGTTGGTCATTTTAAGTTGCAAGAACTTAATTCCAAGAGTCCAAAATAGCTTTGTCAACAGCAAAGAGTTTCTTACTATTGTCTACTTAAAATGATCTGGCTCTGGAATAAGCATGCAGCTGAATGTGGAATGAACTGCCAACTATTCTGCCATGTTTATACAGCAGATGCTCTTCCAGCCACAACCCTGGGAACCATCCATACACTCTCGCATTCACACACACACTCATACATGCAGCCAATTTTGTTCACCCAATTCACATATATCGCATGTCTTTGTACTTTGGGGGAAACCGGAGTACCAGAAGGAACTCCATCCAAACACGGGGAGAACATGCAAACTCTACACAGAAATGCCAACTGACCCAGCCGGAACTTGAACCAGCAACCTTCTTGCATTAAGACGACAGTGCTAACCACTGAGCCACCTTGCTGCCAGCGTTGTTACAGTCTACTTAAATTAACCGTTTATTTTAGATTTTTCAATTCAAGTTTTTTGTTAATTATATTAAACTGAAACAAAAAACAAAACTGCCACCTCACAGCAATAAGGTCGCTGACTCAAGTCCAGGCTGGACCAGTTAGCATTTCTGTGTGAAGTTAGCATGTTCTACCCGTGTTCACATGGGTTCTCTTTGACTACTCCAGTTTCCCCCATACTTCAAAGTTGTGTGGTATAGGTATACGTAGGTAAATTGGATAAACAAGTTAGTGCTGGGCTGTGACTGGAAAGGCATCTGCTGTATAAATCATATGCGAGAGTAATTGGCGGTTCATTTACCTGTGGCGACCCCTGATGAAACTAAGCCAAATGAAAGTGAGTGGGTCAAACTAAAATGGTATTAAATTAAAATAAAACTACATTTGAAAGGCTCGAAACAACTTCTCAGAGTGACTAAATCTAAACAAATTTAGAATAATGCGATAACCTTTCTGTTTTACAGCACCGACACAAGGTACTCATTACGGTAGTGATCGTGTTATCCAAACAGCATCAAGAAGCAAGGTTACAGGGAAAGTCAAAGGTATAATGACATTATACATTACACTCTTATATAAGGACTCCTCTTTTATACAATGAAGCTAAAACAAGCTGTTGACAACAAATATTATTCAATTGGTCAAGTTGTCTAAAACACTTCTGAGAAAAAGTGTGACCATTAATGAATGTGTTTAATGTGATCGTAAACATCATGTCTGTGAGGAATGTGATCATTAAAAATAAATGTGAAAATGATGAACCCTATGAATACATTCCCCTTCAATGGATTTTAGGTTTACATATTCTGGGTAAAAGTGTTCTGCAATCTTCCCTGCAGTTCCTCTACACAACACAGGAGCACAGGGGGTGTCACAACACTCCCACTGGGGTAATTAAAAGCCTTAAACGAGCTCTCCATTCAAATGTCAGATCACTGGAGAAACACCAACTTCTGAGGCGACTCCTAAATTTCCTATTTTGAGCATATGTGGAAATTTTGCATCAGACTGAAAACAGCATATCTTCTAATATGAACTTAACATGATCAATAGCAGTTTTCTTTAGGTAGAATACTAAAATAACTTTACGATCTTGTAAATAAGTGTACAAAAGCTGTCACTTCATGGGTAAACTTTTGAAAAGATACATTTTAGTGCTTGGGTAGTAATAGGCTATGTATATTTTCGGTACTAATCTGTACGTTTAAGGTACATGTACTGTATGGAGTGCCAGCTTTTGTATCTTTGTTTTAGAAAGTTTAATAACTGCAACACGGTATTCTGCTACACACTAAGTGCTGTGGTCTTTTATTTAACCCCTTTAACTACCCCACCAAGAAAAAAAACGGTTTGGATTGCATTTCTTAACTCCTAATGTCACTAGTTAACGCACTCAATGCATTTTTTCCCAACACATCCCATAATTTCTAAAATACCAAATGGTTGATATATCGGTTTATGGTAAAATACATATACCACGAAAAATCTAAAAATATGAAGTGTAAGACCAATTTAAAAAAAATAATAAATAAAACATTTCTGAACACTAAATCTCCTTTTTTTGCATCTTTTTAAGTATGCCATAAAATATTTCAGAGTCTCATTTAACATGCTTTCTTGTTTTTTTTTTTTTTTACAATAAAGCCAAAATCAAGTGTCGTGTGCAACAGGATGTTTGTTTGATTTTTTTTGTAAACCAACAATGCTGTGTGTGTAAGCCATTATTAAAAACAGTTATTCTATAAATGACTTTAACAGTCATTATTTAAGTTTTAACAGTAAAACATGGTCAACCGTTTGGTGGGTCAGTCAAAGGGTTAACAAACCAAAATGTGAAAAATAATACCGATGATAAATCATAATAGAATTTCAATCTGGTCACATTTTAATGTTAACAAGGAAACACTTTTACAATTTTACACCAGAATAAATAAAAACATTCAAATTAATACTATATTTAAGTGTAAAACATAGACATTGACCCCAATTTTTTGCTGATTTTGGAGTCAGATGGTTAAGCAGTGTTTACTCAAAAATGTAATAACAAGAATATTTTAGTACTAATTAAACTATTATTTATTTGTGGTTTTGATAGTTGCAAAATCAAGATACAATTTATTTAATTTAGGTTTAACTAATTGATCAAATGATAAAATGATCAATTCATTAATAACAGTAGAATGAATAAATTAATCAATAAATGATTACTTTAATTTGTATAAGCCCACTTTTTGCAAATTACATAATGTTGACAATTATGTAATTTACATATGTAATTAAATATGTAATTAAATTGATTATTTTTGGTTAACCCCTTATTTGCTATGTGTTGCAAGTTTATTATTAGTAACATTTGCAATCTTACATTTTGTGACTTGTAAATGCTGCAGAGTGATACAAATGCATTCCAAAAAAGTCAATAAATTGGTTAACAATATGGTTTCTTTAGGGGTAAAAGTACTTTGAATATTACTTGAATTTCAATAAATTCTCATTTTGATAGTCACAATAAGGTTTCTTTTATTAAACATTAATTAACTAAGTTCATTATTATGAACAATCAAAACAATATTTTACAGCATTTATTAATCTTTGATCAAATTAATTTCAACAAAATTTCAATTAATTATAAAGCAATATAATTTGTTCTGAATTTGTCAATACAGCATACTTATCAATTAACATCCTCAGTGATTAATACATTTTGTGAAATATATTGGTCTAATGTGTTCTAGCTAATGTTTAATGTATGATAAAGTCTTATATATTTGTTGTTGTTGTAAAATGTATGTCCTTAATAGTTTTCCTATTTGCGCAGCTCTATTTTGATTCTCCGTCTAAACAGTTTCAATAAACTGCAATCCCAAATTTTTTAGATACTAAAATATTAAGATTCTCAAGCATTTGAAAGAGTACAGTTAAAATCCTGATATCAGCAAAGCAATAGCGAGAAAAAGTTCGTCTAAATTCTCTGAGGGCTCGTAAACGGAAGTTCCCTGTTGAATGAACTTCAGCAAAACTTACCAAAAAGCGAATTGGCGAAACCGTACCATTTGCAGCCGTGATGTCCCAAAAGCCATTTCCCATAGAGACTGGACGCGAAGCTAAAGGGAGTCCCAAACAAGCAGACCAGTATGTCACTGACGCTGATGTTCAGCAGGATCAGGTTTATAGGAGTCCACAGTGTGCGAAACCTCGCGAAGACGAGCAGGACAAAGAGGTTGTTCAGGCATCCCAACAGCAGGATGGCTCCGAGGCAGACGGCGGTCACCGTGTGGCCGGTCCTGCTCAGGCCGGGTGGGCTGTCATGGGGCTCCAGAGGATCCCCTGAACTCACATTGCCACTTTGGTTAAGCGCAGAAGTGTCTTTGCTGCTGATGTTCAAACTCCAGATGTAGACGACCATAGCAGCCTCCCTGCACGGGGAAATGATGTTGACACTATGACTTTCCTGACGGAAAGATTCACAGTTTTCATGTCTCCACCTCACTGACGCGCTGCCCACCATCGACACTCTGCCTCTGCGCCGCTGACCCCCGCTCTCTGATCACAGATGACCAGGGTGCGAATTATGAGCTGTGTGGGGGTGGTGGAGGGGGGTCTCACTCCAGAGAAAGTGAAATCAAAAGAGGAGGATGGTCTTGGGGAAAGTAGTCTACATTTTATTTTTAGACACTGATACATCGTTTCAACATGGGTCAATTTCGTAACTGAGGTAAGTGCGCGCGTCTTTTAACGCTTGCCAATTAAATGCTAATGAACAACTTGGCGGAAGGGTGGGTTGTTGCAAAACCATGCTTCATTTGTGGTTGCCATGGTTTAACAGCAAAAAAACATGTTTCTTCTTCATTTTTCGGATTACCATAATATCAAACATTTCCATATAGCATTTCCATAAGCTCGTGTTTCAATATAATTTGCTTATTTTGAGCGTTTGCAACCAAAAGCTGCACTTCCCTAAAAGCTGTAGCAAGAGTTTTTGGTAACAAAGAGAACTTTCTAAGTTAGATGTTAATTTCTTCTGGCTAACCAATAGAAAACATTCTGGAAACCAGAAACTAATACCATTTTGTTAAGAGAAAAGAGCATATCACATATTGGCTTATTACATTAAAACATTGTTTTTATCAATGTGGGCTATCTGAATGTTTATTGAAAATTTGCTGCTAAAGAATCTTTTAAAAATACTCTTAAGTATAGAACAAAAGAAAATTTTGTTGTGAGTGTTTTTGAGCACTGAATATTGTTCAGTCTCTTATGCATTATAAGTGTATAAGTACAAGTATCAACAACTATAAGTAATGAAGTTGCAACAGGAGATCTTGGTGAACGCTAACATTAGGCTAATAACAGTGAAAGCATACATCCCACACTGCAAATCGCCATTCACAGCCATCTCCTGAATATATGAATGTGCACTAGACAACATCACTACATCTTCCACAGAAGATCAAGATACATATAAGAGCATGTGAACCACTTAATTTGATTGCTGTCATGATGTGGAGAGACTTTCAACCAGCAAAGTAAAAGTTTTTATTTTTTATTTTTTTCTGAATTCTGCATGGAGCAGTGGGCAGCACAATTGCCTCACAGCAAGAAGGTTGCTGGGTCGAGCCTCAGCTGGATCAGTTGGCATTTCTGTGAGGAGCTTGCATGTTCTCATCGTGTTTGTGATGCATATGTTTCCTCCAGGTGCTCTGGTTTCCTTCACAGTCCAAAGACATGCGGTAGGTGAACTGGGTAAGCTAAATTGTTTATTGTGTATGTGTGTGAATGAGTGTTTATGGATGTTTCTTAGTAATGGGTTGCAGCTGGAATGGAATGGAATGTTTATGTAGCTGCATAAAACATATGCTGGATAAGTTGGCAGTTCATTCCGCTGTGGCAACCCCAGCTTAATAAAGGGACTAAGCGGAAAAGAAAATGTATAAAGTTGGCAGTTCATTCTGCTGTGGCGACCACAGATTTATAATGGGACTAAGCTGAAAAGAAAATGAATGAATGAATGTTATGATGGCTGTTTTAACATTAAGTTATGGGTGAATTACCTCTTGTTACACTTGTTATGAAATAGTTTGATAACAAACAGGAAATGTTCATGGGCCAATGACATGACCACACTCAAATGGTCTACAGCCAATTGAAGATCAGCATTGAACAGAAGTATACAAGTAAAACAGCTTCTTAAGCAAAATAAAAATGTATGGTGGGTATTATAATTGGTTACATTTTATGAAACATTAAACTCTTAAATATAGTTTTAGTATAGATGATTTAACCTTAGTCAGGCTGTGGGTTTTTATTGCTCTACAATTGCATGCTCTGAACAGAAGTTCTCCAGTGTAGGTATCCATAGCAACAGTGTCCTGCTCAGACATTAAGTATGCAGTAAATACTCATATTATATGTCATATTTAATACTCATTTATATGTAGACATCACAAATTCAAATGTAAGTCCTTTGTTGGTATTTTAGAAAATTGACGTTTAGCTAACTGGGCTTGTTGTGCCAAATGGCAGCTTAATTGTAATAAACCTGTGGACTTCCTTTTAAAATTCAGCCCACCTAAAAGTCATTGTGTAAAGGAATGCTTGTGTGAATCATTCAGTCATTGTATGCATGCTTAATTATAACTTTGGGCGACCACCTCCATCACACTTTATCCCATTCACTAAGAAATCAAGCTTTGATTGTGGGGGTTTTGGACTATTTAAGGCTAAAGACAAAGCATTTGAACACATTTGTTTAAACATCTACACATTAATATCAATATCATCCTTTTATTTGAAATATTTAAACTAAAAAAGGTGTCACGTTGACGCAGAGGGTAGCGTGATTGTCTCACAGCAAGAAGGTCGCTGGTTCGAGCATCGGGTCAGTTGGCATTTCTATGTGGAGTTTGCATGTTCTCCCTGTGTTCACATGAGTTTCCTCTTGGTGCTCCAGTTTCCCCCACATGTCCAAAAACATGTGCTAAAGGTGAATTGGGTAAGCTAAATTGTCAGTAGTATATCTGTGAATGAGTGATTATGGATGTTTCCCAGTGATGGGTTGCAGATGGAAGGGCATCCGCTGCGTAAAACATATACTGATTAAGTTGGTGGTTCATTCCGCTGTGGTGACCTCAGATTAATAAAGGGACTAAGCTGAATGAATGAATGACTTTACTTAAAAGTAAAAGGCAAACAGTTAGTGTGTTTGTAATGTGAAATGTGCTTTTATAAAAAAATTTTTTGCTTTTATATGTTTTTTTATTTATTTTTTATTTGCACTGTCTGTATTTGCACTGTCTGAATTTTGTACTGTCTGGAGCCAGCACCTAAGCTTTTCACTCATAGCACACGTGCTGCTGATGATGTGACAATAAAAGTGATTTGATTTGATTTTATGTGCTACAAAAAACACGCAGTTTAATTTTGCAGAAACTTTATGGTTCTGAGTTGCTGGTCAGATACATTACTTGTTGTTTTTAGGTGAACTTAAAAATTGGGGATGTCATAGATCTATCACAGGGGTTGGGAACCTTTTTTCTGCCATTTCTCATATTTTTGGCAAATGCATTTTTTAAAAAAGCCATTGGGGTATATATATATATATATATATATATATATATATATATATATATATATATACACACACACACACACAATAAAAGGGAATTGTAATTGTATTTTCACCAGAAAACTGATTTCTAGTGATGGTTATATTTTTTTCAACTGTAAAATATTATTGAAGTGAGACTGCTGGAGAGCCACGTATTTATTTTTAGTCAAATAGCCACCTGTAACTCACAGGTTCCTCACCACTGATTTATCAGATTACAGAAGAGAAATTGCATAGTCAAAGCAGTTCTGTCTTTTATTACACATTGACATTAGAAAATAAAAAAAATACTTAGTTAAAAAAAGTTTTTTAAAAACATAATAGTTTTAAAGATATCAGTATTGAGCTTAAAGTTTAATTCAAAGGCTTAACTAGTTAACTACTGTAGACAAGTTAGGTTAAATAATTAGTCATTCGACAGCAGTGGTTTGTTCTTTAGCCCATTGAACATTCCTAAATAAAATTAACCTTAAAAATTGTTTTTGAAAGGAAATACTTTTTCTATTCCAGCCAAGCTAAAACATATCATAATAAGAAATAAATAAAAAATTATTCTAATATATGTAAATATTTTCTTGCTTCATTCAACATCACTTGGAAAATATTTTTAAAAATTAATAAAAATGTCATCATTTTGCCTTCAACTGTTTGGGTATGGGTTCCACAAAATCTATATGTGTTGTAGCAACATAAAGGAATTGAGTTACCTTATTAATTTTTACAAATTTAAGTGGATTGAACATAAACCAAATAAGTCAACCCAGGCTCATTCTGAAAACGTACCGCTATATACATTTCTGGAGAGCGCCAAATATATGCTAATTTTTTTTTTGCTGTTTTTGTTTTCGCAAATCCACCAGAGGCTGCCGTGTATGCTTTTTCAGATCTCAAATTTCTCTCACTAGTGCCATTTGTGTCTGCTCTTCTCACGTAAATCCACCAAAGACCACTGTCAACTGACTAACTAACTTACTGAATGACTGACTGAACGACTGACCGATCGAATGACCTACCCTTCTCCTTCCCTAAACCCAACCAATAGTGTTTTTAAAATCACAGATTGCTCCGCCCACCCACTTCCCTAAACCTAATCAACATTTTTAAAAAGCAACCCAGAAAAAGAAAAGCCCTCCCCTGATTTTTTCCACATTTTCAGATTTGACCACATTCTCACCCTGTTTTTTACTTGTTTATTTTATTTTTTGGATTCTGTTTTGGTTTTACCTGCTTTTTGGAACCGTTCTTCACTGGACTCGAACTCCATTGTCGTTGTCAACTCCTCTCTGCATGTCAAGTCTGCTGATGTTTGGCAAGCTTACTGGACAAACTGGTAACAGAAGGAAAGCCGTCCATACAGACGTAAGCGGTCAGCTGGTAATCATGAAAAGGAACAGTGTTATACTATCTCGTAACGTTCGTTTTAAAGAAGAAATGCATCCATATATACTTCTGGCTGCATAATTCGCAATCTTCACAAAGGTATATAGGGCTACGTTTTCAGAATGAGTCAATGTGTAATTAAGTTGTCCCCCAATAAACTCAAAAGCACTTCAAATCATCAGAGAGTTGCAGTATATAAATGCTATGGCAAGTCAAAGTTTGTTCATATATTTATGTCTTTACTTTTGTTTCCTTTGTTGGCTTTATACTTTTAATTATTACATGATTTATGTCATACTATGTTCTTTAGTTAAAAGCACTACCAGAGCCACTGCAGTTACAAGAAGGTTAATAACAAAGACATATTATCAGCAATGTAAGAGCTGCTGGCATAATCCATGCACAGATACTCATATACT